CTACTGATAAAATCGAGTACGACTTTTGACGAGCAGAATTCTTTTTTCGTGTGGAATCAGAGTGGCTGCAAAAGCTCTTGCTTTTTGAACTGTTTTCGAGTGTGACAAAACCGCATAACTTAACCCAAAAGCTATTACAAATTTGGTCACTTGGTCGGATCATAATAAAGGTTGTTGAAAAGATTTTCTTTTCTGAGACAATTAGTGGTAATCACGCTGCCTTTTTAATTGTTTTAATCATTTTTTAAGGCGAGAGGAGTGGGCACTTTTGTCCTAATTATTCTTGATTGTAGTATGCTTTCTATTGAGATGGTCTACGTATATGCTCGAGATAGTGCGTTGCATGAGCATCGCGGCTTGAAAGTGCATAGTGAACGCATTGTACTTCGTAAGGATTGGCCGATCTTAGTAACGCTTATAAGCATAGTAAGGACCCTCTAATTCAGGGTGCACACGGTTGCGTCGCGGCAAAGATTGATATCAGCCAGATTTCAGTTCAGCTTCTTTCTTTTTCTGACTCTTTTTCTGAGTTTGGTTTTCCTTTGCAAAGCAACTTAACAATTCCAGGAGTGACTCCTCGTGGAATAAGTGCGCCGGCGAGCGTAGCCAAAAAATGGACGATTTTCAGTTATATTTAGTCGAACCCATAATATGAATTTTCATACAATTTAAGTTAATTTTTAGGAGCTAATTTTTAGGCAGCGTCTTGTTTTTATAGTAACTTTCAGGCTAATAAATTCCATTCAGTCAGCATTTTCAATCCATTTTCGAACATTCCAATTTTTTTCGCAGACAATTGTATTCTTTTCGAGACTGCTGAATTTTGCAAAAAAGAGGGAACACAAATCAGCCTTGCAGTTCGCATACACTCAATCATTATTATGGGGTTCAAATTTGTATGGCTAAAATTTCAATCGTTCATGGTCACGCACCTCGCTGGAGCGCTTGCTGGTTTGAAGGCAGCTTAGGGGTATTTCATTCACTTCGAAAATGTTTTATGAACCATAGAATGACATAGACAATAGTACGATGTACACACAGTGGGTACTGCAAGAAAAGAAATT